GAGAAATTTTATTAGCAAAACAGTCTCATGTCTTCTGCCATTTGTGGTATCAGTCTTCTAATCATCTCCTTAATCAAATTTGTATGGATTCCTCTTAGCAACTCATTGCTTATTAAGTCTTTCATGTAATTTCAATGCCCTTCTTCTGTTTCCTTAACCAGCTTATCTTTAATTGTCAGTAGTGTTATCAATGATGTTGCTAATAAAATTTCTCTTTTTAAATCCATTTAACAAAATTCTTTTGTTTTTTCTTCTGTATCTCGCCATTTAATTCCTCTTTCAGTATTCCACTCTTTCCATTTCCAGACTACCCATAGCTGCTAGGCTCAGTAGCTGTGAATTAATTCCAGAACCAAAGACTGCTTGCCCTTAATAGTAGGTGCTGAAGTGGAAGAAAATTCTTGCCCTTGTCTCCCATTTATAAATTTTCCTTCCTGGACTCATCTAAGAGAGACACTGACTGTTGTAGGAAATAGATGTTTGGAGGGATCCATCAAAGTTTTTAAGTTCTTAGAAAAGAAGGCAGAGCTGGGGTGTTAGAATTCTGGATTGTAATCATTTATGAAGGCCAGAGGTAGTCCTACTTTCAAAGCTACACACGTACACATTTAATATATTGGTGCATCAAAGAGAAAGGAAGGCTCGTCTTTTCTTTTGAAGGTTGCAACGCTACACTCACTCTGCTGAACTCAGGTATATTTACTTCTGAGCAGGTACGCACAGAATTGCATATGAAAGGAGAGTGGCATAATCTGAAGCATTTTCATATCTAGTCTTAACTAGGTATATAGAGAGTCCTCATTCAAAGTTATGACAGACCTCCCTGGGGCTGCTTATGCCCCAATTTCAAAATCCCCCCTATTTTCCAAAGCACCAGAAGGCAAGACAGGAACCAATGGATGGAAATCACGCCAGGAAAGAAGCAACCTAGAACTAAGGGCTAACGGTGAGAACAATTAATCCGTGGAACAGATTGCATTCAGAAGTTGTGGATGCCCAATCACAGGAGGCTTTCAAGAAGAAAGTGGACAGCCATTTGTCTGAAATGATATTGAGTCTCCAGCTCAAAATGGGTTAGACTAGAAGACCTCCA